CCAGCATCTCCACTCCGTTCCCTCCCCTCCGTGGTCCCCCCTTTCAGGTTCTCCGTGTCTGATCACAGCCCCATGGAATTCCTGCCTTGCTCCCTGGGTGATTCCAGGCTGAACTGCAGCAGGGCAGGATTTTGGATGATCATGGAATTTAGCTTGGGTGCCAGTGGGTAAAGAAGGATAGTAAAAACGCAAGCCAAACCAGGAAGGATCCACCAGAACCATCACCAGAAACAGAGGTGGGAACTGGGAAGCTGTTGTGTTTTGGAGAAATGTCTTTCTCCAGGGGATCTAATTGTCCAGAAATACTCTTACAGTATACTTGAAAATTGCTCTGCTTCCAGGATTCAAAAGCAGAGAGCATGTATCTGTTTTCCCCTTCAATAGAAGTAGGCGCCCAATTCCTCTGAAGAACACCTGTCATCCGAAAAATGTTGGGCCATGAAGAAATAATGACCTGCATCTCGGAGTGCAGCCTCTTTGTAGGGGGTGATCAGGGAATAGAGCTGGAGAAAGAAGACTAATCAGAAGGGAAAAAAAGTCACATAGAGGAGGCCAAGCTACCCAATCCATCACCCAGCCTGTAGGGCAATCGGCCGCCAGGTCAACCCTCCTGGCCAGATTCCAGGGCTTCCGTGGCATGTCAGGGCATTGGTGCTGAGCCTTTCCCATCCCTTTCCAGAGAAAGTGCATGAAGAGATTGACCGCGTGGTCGGCCGAGCCAGGGCGCCGTGCATAGCTGACCGCGGGCAGATGCCTTACACAGACGCCGTCATCCACGAAATCCAGAGGTTCATCTCTCTTGTCCCACTGAGTGTCCCCCACTCAGTGGCCAAAGACACCCCCTTCAGACAATACGTCATCCCAAAGGTACCGGCTCTGCTTCTACTGCTTCTGTACTGCTAAGGGGACAGATGCAGCCCAGGGATACATGGATCTCGGCCGGGCTGAGGAGGGTCTTATGTCAGGGTTGGCACAAGACCAAGGGCTGTGCTGCTGAAGATGGGGAGCTGAAGAGAGAGGGACAGGGCTGTAAAAGTTGGAGTACATTTCTGTTGTCCTTGTGGCTTCTATTGTAGCAGTGGCTACTTTTGTGTTTTTGGTCATTGACAAGTCAGTTTAAAAAAAAATAGGTTGTTTTTAACTGGAAATGTTCCCTTATGTCCTCTAGTGACCAAAAGTATCTTTAAATGGATCAGAGGCACTGATCCCCAGGGATCTGCCCCAAAACACAGTCAAGTCAAAAGCCCCATTTGTACCCACAGAGTTACACCACAGAAGTGATGGGATGCCTGACTGGACAGTGGCGAAAAACACTGATCCAAGCTCGGATCCTCAAGGATCCAGATGATTTTAATGTGGGATCCTCACCCACAACAGTCGCCGTCTCTGCCAACAGAATGGAGAGTGAAATGGTTTTAAAAGCCAGTCTGGCCCCCTCAACCGTGACACAATTCGGCTTTAAAACGTATTAAAAGTTTTCCGAAGAGGACGTAACTAACCGTTATCTGAAGCTGACACAGATTCATACACCATGAGACTGTCACATGACTTTAGATTGCAGCCAAAAAAATTAAAAAATCCTATGTATATTGTGGGATTAATCAGTAGGTAAGCCCTTATCTTGAAAGCACCCTCAGGGACACTAATTGGAGTCCATGGCCTTCTTGAACATGTCCCAACATGTTAACGGCCCCACCCACGTGCGTGGCCACACTCTACTTGGTTTTTTCCACTAATGGGAGCGAGAGTGGTCCGATGGTGACTGACCTTGAGTCGGTACCCTTGTCATGGTCGGATCACCACCTAATAAAGTGTACCATTAAAATGGCTCTCCCCCCCTGCAGGGAGCAGGGATCTATTGTTATGATCCGCCCTCGAAGGCTACTGGATCCGGTTGGATTCCAGGATGCCATGAGAGGTGTTACGGCTGACCTGGCTGGCGCTCCTGTCGAGGCTCTGGTGGATGGCTGGTTTGCTGCCGCGACTAGGGCTGTTGACATGATCGCACCTAAACGCCCTCTCCGCTGCAGAGACCGCCCGGCACCCTGGTTTAATCGGGACCTCCGGGCGAGGAAGCGGGTCAGGAGACGGCTAGAGCGCAAATGGAGAAAGGTCCCGACGGATTTCAATAGGATAGCTGTCAGGGTCGCTACTAACCTTTATCTTGCTAAGGTAAAGGCTGCTAGTAGATCATACCTCGTTAACCGGATAAGCGAGGCATCCAACCAGCAGGCGGAGTTATTCCGTATAGTACGCGACCTCTCCGGAA